ATGTATGTCTCTGGCATCTCACTATTAGGCAAAAGTTTTCAGTATTGACACTTGACTGTCCCTATCGGTACAAGGGTTTATTTTTCCAGTTTTTTTTTCTTCAAACTATGGCAAAATATCCAAATTATAACATTTATAATGCCACAAATAAATACAGACAATTTCTTATTTATTATTTTATTATATTATAGTATTTTTCAAATTTTGACATTTGCCAAGATATACTTAGTAAATGGTTTCGATAAGGAAATAAAACATTTTTTAATAATTTTAAGTTTATTTTGTATCTACAAGAAATCCTAATTGATTTATACAGAATGTTGTTATGCATGTACTATTAAAACAATTTCTTGTTATGTATTTAATTGTAGGTAAAAACGACAACGATTTAATTCATTTGCTTCATAAACTTGATAAGTTGGCAAGTAAGCTGTAAAAATATAAAAATTATGCATGAACTGTTATAATAATCTCACGGAGATAGGTATACACCTAACCGAATATTTGTACAATATTGGGTTAAATTCAATAGTTCATATAGTTTGGAACTTTCAAACCTTAATATTAACAGTATATTTTCTATGTCTCAAACTGAATAAAGAAACCAATTCACCACCATTAAAAATTTTGTAAGCATCTAAGTATCAAAGGTTTTATAAAATATTAGTTGGAGTTTATCATCATACACATAATTATTTTTATCTATATTTAACTTAAATAATATGTAATTTCAAACATGCACATTTTATGTGGACTGTTTCTAATCGATTAATACAGGTAACATGAGTATGAGTGTTCCACATAATGTTGGTAAAGATATAGGTTTGGTTTTTAATAAAATATAACTTAAAACTTACACATCGTATTCCCAGTATAATATAATAACAAATAGAAAACTCTTAAGCACTAATTATAAAAGTTTATAATATTATAAACACAATTCTTGCAATACTATAATTTACAATTTTCAGAGGATAACCTAAGAAACCAAAGACAGAATTATATTCTGTGCCAAAGATAACGAAAGCCAAACTTCAAATACGTGCAAAGTCCAAACTGCATTACCAACCAACCCAAAATGACAGGGTTAGCATTCTCTACGCCATCTTTTATTTTGGAAGCTAACTAACATGTGACGCCGCCATGACAGTTTCATTATTCAAATGTTAGATTTCATTCTACGTTAGTACTATATTTTCTATGAAACTGTTTAAAAGCAGGCGAATCAGGCGATGCCGCGATGGTCGATGACAATGCCAACGCTGCTTCAATTTCCGCGTCACTCGTTCCCCCACGCCGTAGAATAATTTTAAATTGCACAACCAAATGGAAAATTTCCATTTGGTGAAGCGGTACGTGTCTTTGAAATCATGAAAATAAAATTCATTATATATAATAAATGTTCAATATAATTTTTTCACAAATTTTTCACAGATTTTTCAATATTTCTCACAATGATAGCCCTTAGGATTTTATTAAATTATAATAAATAAATAAATGGTTTGTTCAATGTAATTAAGATGTATATTATTAATATTACTATAAAATACATTTTAAAATAAAATTTTTAAATAGTTCGTTGAATATTAATAAGGAAAAGAGCGAGCCGCCGCGCCGCTTGCATCGCCGATGGCCCGCGCGAAATATTTATTTCATTTTTCGCTGATTGACGGGCGTAAAATTATTTATTTTCTGGGTTACTGGTCAAAATAAACACTTAGTTTATAAAACTATTATTCATTTATACATTGTTTATTGTATTGTTCCACAAAATCGTTGCCGGAACATTTTCACAAAAGTTTTGAAGTGTAATAAACGAATTGCTTATTATTCAGTTAGTTTTTCAGCTGGCTGACACATAATTTTTATTTATATGCAATATAGAATTTGTACAACGATTTTCAACTTTAGTAAATTCCAGTGGCGGCTCGCCATGTGACGCAAGTGATATTTAATCTCTAAGTAATAATTGAATTCTCATATATTCTATATATTCAATATTTCTTTCATTATGGTAGCCTGTAAACCTGTAAAATTATATTATCAAATAAATAAATAGTCTATTCAATATAATTAACATGTACATTATTAGCATTATTATAAATTACGTTAAATGGCGCGCGCAAAATTTGTATCTCTTATTTAGCCGGCTGACGGGTGTTGTCGCACAAAATTGTCAACTGGCCATTTTGTTTATGGTTAATATAAAATTAATATCCTCCCTCACTCAGTTTCGCTTGACTGACCACTGTTTTCATAATAATAAAAAAAAACTAGTCTTAGTAAATTCAAACAATTTTTTTGCCTCTGGCTCTTGACTATAACGATCATGTTTAAAAATTCAATTACATAAGTTTAATATTTCACAAATATATAACATTGAAATTAAAAATATAGATGTGACAAAATTAAAATTTCCCATTTAAAAAATTAACATGCGCAAAATCGGTTTTAGTGGCACGTATAATTATTTTTTGTTCTCTTTTCCTCTCCGTAGTGCGAAAAATACGTTTCATACCGTCCTATTCAGATCGGATTACATCTTATTTTTAATAATACGTTTCTTATCTTCTTCTTTGCCTCTCATATTTCGATAACAATATAAATTTACTGTTATATAGAATTTCCATTACCTTTAACAGGTACAGTGCGACAGAAACAGTTGAAAAAATATTTTCATCATTTGAACCCCAAAATAACTTGAAACTGCATGTCAACATCGTCAACCGTCAATTCACTGAATATAAAATTCTACGAATAATAATGTAAAAATGGTTTTTTCACAATAACAATATATATTTTTTTCATATATAAAATGTTGAATATGTATTATGTGTCTACGGTTTACGTTTCAAGTTGCAGAAAACCAAGCAGAAAGAGGAAAATAGGAAAAATAGGTCCACTTTAAGTGATAAAAGAACTTGGCAAACAGAATACTTAATTGAGCCTCTACACAATAAACAACAATTATTTCCTAATAGACGTTCAGATTCTTTTCAGGTTGATCCTTGTACTTTATTATTATTCAAAGCACACGCATGGGCATGGCATACCGCATTTGCTGTTAAATAAGTTTCAGCATGTTACATTAAGTTACAAATAGAAAAAAAAAACAAGTTGCTTATATAATATATATTTAAAATCTTCTTATTAGTAGGATTAAAGCCTGTTTTTTAAGATGAAACTCTTTTTTTTATGTAAAAGCTTTTGCAATGTTTTATTGTTTCTACAAGGTATAGACACATATCTAACCCATATGCGACACTGAGAGAGATAAGGCTGTTTCGTGCAATACGAATGGAGATACATCCAAGTTAAAGGGACTGAACGCATGCGTATTTCCAAACAGAACAGCTGTGTGACAACGTAAGATGATATTTTCAGGTTTACTATTATTTCGGCAATAAACAGAATAAATATGAAATACAAAACTTTAAGGATATATAAATTTTGTAGAGTAAAATAGANTATATATATATATCAGGGTGTCTCAAACTTAACGCTGGTTACAAATGTGGTGTGCTTCCCTACTACATATAGATATATAGATATAAACATTGACAAAGTGTACTTAGAATTGTTTTTATTTTTTAACAGATTTGCTGTTTTCGATAATTTAATTTTTTTTTTTTTTAAATAAAGTTGATAAACCTAATTACCACTTTTATTTTTACTCTAATGCTAGGTTGTGTTAAACTGGTCTTTAGTTTTATATGTATTTATAATATTTTTACAAAGTTTTGTGTGTTTACTAATACCCACATATATACATACATACAGGTGGGGCAAAATCACGTAAGCAAAGTAACGAATATCTGGTAAAACTGTATGTATTTGAATATTGTTATTCGTGTGTGTTAAGTGGTGCTCAGATAATTAAATTGTGTTGATTTGTGAAAATTTTGCAAGTTCAATGTTTTAATCCTGATCACTCGGTATGACAAGATCTGACTGCTTGCTACAAGTGGACAGGCAGCAATAATACTTGCAAATAATGGAGATAACAGCTTTCGCTAGTGTTTGACAACTCCATTCTCTGTCTGTATATTTCTGCTCAGTCTAACTCCATATATACAAATATATGTTGATATCAACTGGAGGCATCCAGCTTAATAGTCCGCAACAATAAAAAGTATATGTAAAGCTTTGACCTGCCTCAGAAAATCCAGTTCACGGCATGATGGCTCTACACAAATACATTTTGCTCTGGCAGTGTAACTGTCATTTAAATGCCTCCTTTCACGTGTATGTATGCTGCCACAGTTAGTCGTGTGGCATGTATATAAGGATATTGCATGATTGTATTAAATTTTTAGCCCAACGTACCGGTTCTCACAGGCCGACACGTGCGTATTTATCTCTGTTCCCAAATTATCTTTATGATGATAAATAAATAAATAAACCAAGATGACTGTACTTTGTAAAATAATTTGGAGAATAATTTGGCAACAGAGTGATATTTGTATATTAAGTGCAGTTTTGCCAAATTAACTCACAGAACACCTAAATACTTTTTAGCAAGCAGCAAGCACATTTCAAGTCACAGCACGTCCACTAACATATATACTGTTCCAACATATGGTTCCTACAGCCGAGTTGAACACCCATCGTCAGATCACTAGTCGTATCTAGTTGGATAAAGGAAAGTAGATGTTTTTTCCCATGATGACCAGCTATTTTTTAACAAAATAGACCCTTCGAATTATTTCTCACAGTATTGTTGGACATTTTACACAAAAAAGTCATTATTTATTGTTTGGTTTAAAACAAAAACAAACGAGAATTTGAACGATTTCATGTATTTTTCCAACTTTCATTTTCATTAATATATTATGACAACCCAACCTGCATGTTATTTGTAATTTGTAACTACTATTACCAGACTGCACCGAGAACCGGTCGTGGGGCTACTACTATTAGCACTGTGTTGTTTTCCGAATGTGCTAACAGCTCGCCATTTCCCTGGGAATGTTCTTTTTTTAATTCTCTTTGTTTTGGTGTTTCTTGTTAATTTCAGATCCGAGTAGTTAATGCTTTCCGACAGGGCCTAGATGCTCGGTATGGCGAACACAGCAATACTTCCCTAGCTGAGGTACTCCGCAAACAGACATCTCTCTCAAAGAGGTTGTCTCAAACTTCTTCCATTGAGTATGCCGATAACATCCCAGATGAGTTGACGATACCAGAAATAGATGTGGAGCGATTATCCTCTCATAGTCACACCGAGACGGCTGTTTAGCTCCTTAACAGCAAGCGTCACCGTCACCACCAAGTAGTCCCGTTGCCGCGCTACCCACCTGTCCCTGCTCTACTCCGCTCCACTCCGATCCCATCGTCAATCTAAAAAAAAAATAACTATCAGCATATCTGCTGCTATGCCCAATTACTATCCACCACAATTGTAGTTGTGCACCAAATAATTATGACGTTATTATACTGTATAACTGCTGTGGCAGGGTAGAGCAGCTTGAGTAGGTGCTGTTGAACTATCCCCAACCATTCTTATTTTCGCTCACAAAGATCGAGCCGAATCGTATCTGCCACGTATAGCTCCTGAAAATACGTTGCACACTGTTTGTTCGTTGATTTGTTATTTAGTGGTTTTTTGTCTCGTACAATCGAAAGAACAGGATGCTGTGCTGTCGATATGAACTAAAAGATTAGCAATAAATGAGTGATCGAGAGCTCGCTCATAGCGTAAAATTAGGTGCCTAGGTGGGGTCCTTGTGAATATGAGGATCTCACAAAGACGAGGGCATGTGGACCTAGCCGTGCACGTTGACGAGGTTGTCGCGCACATCGGAATACAGCTTTTTCTTTTTTTTTTTTTCTATTTTTACACAAAAAAACTTACATAGTGAGCCGGCGTCGTGGCTTAACCTACCCACCAAAACTAGTCAAGTTTGCATGTCCTCGTCTCATTTTTGCGACCTGCCGCCCCACGTCGCTTCCTTCCATTGGGGACGGCGGAACGCCTTATTTTTAACAGTAGAAATCAGATGTTGTCTGCCAAATGTTTGAGGGAAAGTTGTAGTCGAAAGTAGGTAGATAGTATTTATAAATATAATGGTATAGTCACTTATGCACTACAGCTTTCCCTCACCTTCATTCTATTATATTATAACTTAGGTCTAAATATACAGTTATGTAGATAGATTAGAGTGAAATTTAGAAATATAAATTTAATTATATATACATACATATATAGGTTTATATATATATATATATATATGTGTGTGTGCGTGCGTGCGTGCGTGCGTGCGTGTGGGTGTGTGCGGGTGTGCGTGCGCGCGTGCGCGTGTGCGTGCGTGTGTGCGTGTGTGTGTGTGTGTACATACATTACATGAATATTTGAAAACTTGTATGAGGTGTTGCCACACCTCGCTGGTTAATTTGTTTTATACATGTGTACTTGATTAATTAATAACAAACAGTACAGTACTATAAATATTACCAATTAATACATAGTATTTAATAAGCTGTGTATAATAACATGTCGGATCGACAGGCTACGTCTAACCAGAAATTATTTGTTGTCTAGTCACGGCTCTGGTACTTAGATGCCCAAGTTGTATTGTTTTGGCCTTCTTACACTATCACATAGCAGTCTAAATAATAGACTCTATTCTTAAATCGGTGATAGATTCATAGAGTGATTTTTAATTACCATTGCAACAGTACTTGCATCTGTAGCTTGGAAGTGGCCTGTGTTTCTGGCCTGTTCACGCACACATTTATACACTACTCCGTATCGGATTTTTTGATTGGCCGGAACCTGTTGCCAAATCAGGAAAACTATTATTAAATGTATACTTAATCCTGAACCTTTACAGCGAACGCACACATTCGCTGTGGACCTGATTCTTAACCTCCTGATTATGGCAAGACGCTCCAGTTTTAACCATTCGACCCGCTATGTCAATCACACATTCGTTTTTTGGATTCGTGTCCTGTCGCCTTAGCGGAATGACTCTTGCCTTAGCGAATGTGGTCCATCATGGCACCCTCCTGATGGACCATGTTCTCTTTACTCCTACTTATCTATTGTAATTAATAGTTCATAATTTAACTATGTTCATCATCTATTTACCTGTGGTTCGTCACCCCTTACTTGTCAACTCCATACACTTCTAGTTGATCAACGAACCTATCTCTTGGCATAATATGTAGCTATAAGATAGTTGTACAAGATCGTTTTAATACGTGATTTTGTTTGTGTTCCCAACCATACACCAACCTAGATTTTCTTTATTATTACTATTACTATTATTATTATTATTATTACTATTATTGATGGGGTGTTATATACAAGTGTTGGTGAAGTGTTCTCCTCAGTTAGCATTCACTCGGCGCCACCATCACAAAAATAAATGTAATAAAATGCTACAAAAACAAAGAAAATCCTATTTATCTATGCCAAACATTGTGACGTGGCATTTCAGTTGAATGTTGTTATTTGTAATTTATAATGGTACAATATTAAATCGTTAATTTGTTATAATTGTTATTTTATATGATGTAAACACAATCGCCTCTCGCGTTCTGGTGCCATTGGCTGGTCAGTGGCAAAAGATCGAATTACATGGGATTGGAGTATGGTCATGATTCATGGCTGACCATTCTACCTATCCATTCAAATTTTATTGTCTGTCTGATGTGCTTTTATTTATATAATAAAGGTATTTTGAGCTTTAAATTTAAAGAGAGGTGAATGACGTACCTATTACCTATTGTTAAGGTATTTTAATGGTTCCATTTCAGGATCAACTGCGTTTTATTTTTGTGAATGGCTTTTTTTATCATTGTTCCTTTTATCAAATATTTTTCGACTTCATGTAAATGTTAGTTCTTCAACTTTGTAATATAATTTAAGGAAATTACAAAATGCTACGAATATTTTCATATTAAACATAAATTTTAAAATATAATCACGCATATATAATTAACATCCGTATTTTATTTCACTTCCTTATCCTGTAATCAGTGACTAGTTTTAATTTCAGATAAGGTTTATGGAAAAATGGAAATGAAAAAATAACTGTATGTAATAATGAAAGCAGTTTTACTTTATATAAAACAATATATAATAGGATTTAAAAAATAAATTGAATAATTTAACGTTATTCTTCAGAGGACAGTAATATGTATTGTTGACCTATAGGGATAGGTATCGGGAAATCAAGGTGCCTAAACAGTCGGTAAAAAAGCTCCATTTTACATAGGATGATTAAGTGATTCCATTATTTCAGTATGGGGTCTTCTATGACTACTTTAAATTTTGTATCGGTCAGTTTACTTGTTTAAAAACTTGTTATACTGGGACATTTCAAATCTTTTTTCTGTCATTTAATTTAATACGGGTTTACAAGAATTCCCTCCAGATGATCGAATTGTTAGGTCGCCCCTGTCACAAAATAAAAACCTTAGTGAACAAGTTCTTGAAAATATGTTAGATTCAGCTGACATAGTATACCTTAATTCAGACAAAGGTACTTACCAACATCAGAAGACACGCATAGCACTTTTCAATCATAAAATATACACACACAAAAAAAATAAATTTATAAAAAACATATCACAATAAATATTACAAGCAATAGAACGCAAAACGAGAGAAAAGAGATTATATCCTTCTTAGTCTTAGTCTAAGAAGGAGCGATAAGATCATTACCATAATATATGCATATCAGAAAATTTTAAAAACTCATTCACTGAGCAGAAACAATGCGTAACAAGAAATGATTTTATTTTCTGTTTAAAATCACGAGTATTCAAGGACTTTAAACTAGTTGGCACAATATTATATAAATGGATATCTAAGGAATTTTTCCTTGATTTAGTCAGTCTATAACGTGGAATCATAAAATTGTCTGCAGATCTCGTCCCATAACTATGACATTGAGAGATAACATAACATACAGATGTTTCTGAGAATGAATTTCTAGGAGAGTGGCATATATGTAAAGACATGGTAACAGTAGAATTTTAAGTTTTTTAAAAAGCGGTCGAAGTGTTCAGTATAGCTAGAATTAGTCGTTAACCGTACAGCTTTCTTTTGCAACTTAAATATTTTATCGGACGTTGTGCTGTTTCCCCAAAGGATTATAGCATAAGTCAAATGAGAGTGAAAAAGTGAATAATAACACATCATCAAACAGTCGACGCTGAGAAAGTGCTCCAATCTTCGAATTAAAAACAAGGCACTAGATAGTTTAGTTCCCAGTTTGTCAATATGGGCATTCCACATAAGGGAATCGTCAAGAATCACACCGAGTACCTTTGCAGATTTGCTTTCCGTTATATTCTTACGAGGAAAATATTAAATTGTGCGTTTTACTGTCATTCAGTTTTAGATTATTAGCTGAAAACCATTTCTGTGCTTTTTCAATCATTTCATCGGATAACAAGGATAGACCGGCCAAATTATAGGCAAAAGGTAATAGGAATGGGAACACATCGTTAACATAAATAATAAAAAGCAAGGGCCCCAAAACAGAGCCCTGTGGAACTTCGTGATGCATGTATTCGTGGCCTGAATAAGAATTGTTAAAGCAAACAATTTGTCTACGATTACTTAGGTACGACTGAATTAGTTTTAACGGTACACCCCGAATGCCATAGAAAGATAATTCCGTAGGAGAATAGCGTACGAAACACAGTCGAAAGCCCTGGTGAGGTCGCATAGTGTTACAGAACAGTACTTGCCCTGTTCAAGACTCTCGACTATGTTTTCCACCATTTTATACAAAGCTTTAGTTGTGGATAATTTGCTTTCAAATCCAAATTGATTCTGGTGAAAAAAGTTATAAGTTTCAAAATAATCCATTAATTTATTTTTCAAAATACATACCAGAATTTTTCCAAATAATGGGATAATTGAAATTGGGCTATAGTTGCCTGGCTCGTTAAGATTGCCCTTCTTTAAAAGTGGTATAACCTTACTATGCTTAAAACGGTCTGGAAACACCCCACCAGCAAAACATTTATTGGCAAGAACAGTAAGGAGAATGATGATCAAATTACAAATTTGTTTTAAAATTGGTGCATTTATACCATACATATCAACAGCAAATGAATTTTTTAATTCCAAAATAGCATTTATGACTACATCTGTCGTAACTGGTTCTAAGAAAAATGAAGACGATGGGGCATTGCAGTATTTAGCAATGTCACATTTATTATGTGATATACCAGGAAGTGACGTTATTATATTATCCGCTATACTGGCGAAATATCTGTTCCATCTCAGCAGATAAATTTGATTTTTCTCCAGTACCGTAATTCTGACGTCGCTCTAGTTCTAGTTTTTAGGTTAGTATACCTCCCCGCTCCCCAATATAGGTCTGTTCCTCAGACTAATAAATAAAGGGGACGCCTTTATTTACATTCGATAGTGAAGTGTTGACATATGTGTATTTACAAACATTGGTACTTTGTGATGTCCTTGACATTGATGCCAATGTTACATTTTTATCTTTATAGCTAGGTACAGCGGTCATTTTAATTGATTATCGTACAAGGATCTACCTCATTCTTGACCTCGACTTACAAATTAGTTACATTGTAATATGCATAAGACTACGACACTATTTTCTTGCAACTTGTTTTATAACTATAGATTTTGAATATCTGAAAAAAAATACATTATTGAAATTCCTAGCAATACAAACGTCGTAAGTGGCATCATTGCCTGGTAGTAAACGGTTCTAAAGGGGACGCCATTATTACAGTCTATTGTTGTGAAATAGATATTAGCCGAGTTCAGTGTTTTGTGTCTTTTTAAACTGTTTTTTTATCTAATTTCAATAAAAATGCCAAAGCGGCGTATAATATGCCGACAATTACAGGAAAAGAGCCAAATATGTGCTACTTCTTTTCACAAGTAAGTTTGACATTGTTTCCATGGGCGTTCTTACAAGGGTGTAAGGTGTCCTAAGTATTTTATTTGTTAATTTATTATGTTTGTATTTTGATACTGACACTAGCTCTGTGTTTATTTGTAGAATACCATAAGATCCTGCGATACGAGCAGTGTGGCTAGAAAATTTCGCCATATCTGAATATGATTTTTCAAAGGATAATTATGTCTGTCGAAGCATTTCCGTGC